CTTTATATTTGAATGTAGTTGAGTAAAAGTACTTTATACTGTACTGTATTTGAGTAAAGTACTTTATATTGTACTGTAGTTGAGTAAAGTACTTTATATTGTACTGTATTTGAGTAAAGTACTTTATATTCTACTGTATTTGAGTAAAGTACTTTATACTGTACTGTAGTTGAGTAAAAGTACTTTATATTGTACTGTAGTTGAGTAAAGTACTTTATATTGTACTGTATTTGAGTAAAGTACTTTATACTGTACTGTAGTTGAGTAAAGTACTTTATACTGTACTGTAGTTGAGTAAAAGTACTTTATATTGTACTGTAGTTGAAAAAAGTACTTCATATTGTACTGTAGTTGAGTAAAAGTACTTAATACTGTACTGTAGTTGAGTAAAGTACTTTATATTGTACTAGAGTACTGTAGTTGAGTAAAGTACTTTATATTGTACTGTATTTGAGTAAAAGTACTTTATATTGTACTGTAGTTGAGTAAAGTACTTTATATTGTACTGTAGTTGAGTAAAAGTACTTTATATTGTACTAGAGTACTCTAGTTGAGTAAAGTACTTTATATTGTACTGTAGTTGAGTAAAGTACTTTATACTGTACTGTAGTTGAGTAAAAGTACTTTATATTGTACTGTAGTTGAAAAAAGTACTTTATATTGTACTGTAGTTGAGTAAAGTACTTTATATTGTACTGTATTTGAGTAAAGGACTTTATACTGTACTGTAGTTGAGTAAAAGTACTTTATATTGTACTGTAGTTGAGTAAAGTACTTTATATTGTACTGTATTTGAGTAAAGTACTTTATATTGTACTGTAGTTGAGTAAAGTACTTTATATTGTACTGTATTTGAGTAAAGGACTTTATACTGTACTGTAGTTGAGTAAAAGTACTTTATATTGTACTGTAGTTGAGTAAAGTACTTTATATTGTACTGTATTTGAGTAAAGTACTTTATATTGTACTGTAGTTGAGTAAAGTACTTTATATTGTACTGTAGTTGAGTAAAAGTACTTTATATTGTACTAGAGTACTCTAGTTGAGTAAAGTACTTTATATTGTACTGTAGTTGAGTAAAGGTACTTTATACTGTACTGTATTTGAGTAAAAGTACTTTATATTGTACTGTAGTTGAGTAAAGGTACTTTATACTGTACTGTATTTGAGTAAAAGTACTTTATATTGTACTGTAGTTGAGTAAAGTACTTTATATTGTACTGTAGTTGAGTAAAGTACTTTATACTGTACTGTAGTTGAGTAAAAGTACTTTATATTGTACTGTAGTTGAGTAAAAGTACTTTATATTGTACTGTAGTTGAGTAAAGTACTTTATATTGTACTGTAGTTGAGTAAAAGTACTTTATATTGTACTAGAGTACTCTAGTTGAGTAAAGTACTTTATATTGTACTGTAGTTGAGTAAAGGTACTTTATACTGTACTGTATTTGAGTAAAAGTACTTTATATTGTACTGTAGTTGAGTAAAGTACTTTATATTGTACTGTAGTTGAGTAAAGTACTTTATACTGTACTGTAGTTGAGTAAAAAGTACTTTATATTGTACTGTAGTTGAGTAAAGTACTTTATATTGTACTGTAGTTGAGTAAAGTACTTTATACTGTACTGTAGTTGAGTAAAAGTACTTTATATTGTACTGTAGTTGAGTAAAGTACTTTATATTGTACTGTAGTTGAGTAAAGTACTTTATATTGTACTGTATTTGAGTAAAGTACTTTATACTGTACTGTAGTTGAGTAAAAGTACTTTATATTGTACTGTAGTTGAGTAAAGTACTTTATATTGTACTGTAGTTGAGTAAAGTACTTTATATTGTACTGTATTTGAGTAAAGTACTTTATATTGTACTGTATTTGAGGAAAGTACTTTATATTGTAATGTAGTTGAGTAAAAGTACTTTATATTGTACTGTATTTGAGTAAAGTACTTTATATTGTACTGTAGTTGAGTAAAGTACTTTATATTGTAATGTAGTTGAGTAAAAGTACTTTATACTGTACTGTAGTTGAGTAAAAGTACTTTATACTGTACTGTAGTTGAGTAAAGTACTTTATACTGTACTGTAGTTGAGTAAAAGTACTTTATATTGTACTAGAGTACTCTAGTTGAGTAAAGTACTTTATATTGTACTGTAGTTGAGTAAAGGTACTTTATACTGTACTGTATTTGAGTAAAAGTACTTTATATTGTACTGTAGTTGAGTAAAAGTACTTTATATTGTACTGTAGTTGAGTAAAGTACTTTATATTGTACTGTAGTTGAGTAAAAGTACTTTATACTGTACTGTAGTTGAGTAAAGTACTTTATATTGTACTGTAGTTGAGTAAAGTACTTTATATTGTACTGTATTTGAGTAAAGTACTTTATATTGTACTGTAGTTGAGTAAAGTACTTTATATTGTACTGTATTTGAGTAAAGGACTTTATACTGTACTGTAGTTGAGTAAAGTACTTTATATTGTAATGTAGTTGAGTAAAAGTACTTTATACTGTACTGTAGTTGAGTAAAAGTACTTTATACTGTACTGTAGTTGAGTAAAGTACTTTATACTGTACTGTAGTTGAGTAAAAAGTACTTTATATTGTACTAGAGTACTCTAGTTGAGTAAAGTACTTTATATTGTACTGTAGTTGAGTAAAGGTACTTTATACTGTACTGTATTTGAGTAAAAGTACTTTATATTGTACTGTAGTTGAGTAAAAGTACTTTATATTGTACTGTAGTTGAGTAAAGTACTTTATATTGTACTGTAGTTGAGTAAAAGTACTTTATACTGTACTGTAGTTGAGTAAAGTACTTTATATTGTACTGTAGTTGAGTAAAAAGTACTTTATATTGTACTAGAGTACTCTAGTTGAGTAAAGTACTTTATATTGTACTGTAGTTGAGTAAAGGTACTTTATACTGTACTGTATTTGAGTAAAAGTACTTTATATTGTACTGTAGTTGAGTAAAAGTACTTTATATTGTACTGTAGTTGAGTAAAGTACTTTATATTGTACTGTAGTTGAGTAAAAGTACTTTATACTGTACTGTAGTTGAGTAAAGTACTTTATATTGTACTGTAGTTGAGTAAAAGTACTTTATATTGTACTAGAGTACTCTAGTTGAGTAAAAGTACTTTATATTGTACTGTAGTTGAGTAAAGGTACTTTATACTGTACTGTATTTGAGTAAAAGTACTTTATATTGTACTGTAGTTGAGTAAAAGTACTTTATATTGTACTGTAGTTGAGTAAAGTACTTTATATTGTACTGTAGTTGAGTAAAAGTACTTTATACTGTACTGTAGTTGAGTAAAGTACTTTATATTGTACTGTAGTTGAGTAAAGTACTTTATACTGTACTGTAGTTGAGTAAAAGTACTTTATATTGTACTAGAGTACTCTAGTTGAGTAAAGTACTTTATATTGTACTGTAGTTGAGTAAAGGTACTTTATACTGTACTGTATTTGAGTAAAAGTACTTTATATTGTACTGTAGTTGAGTAAAAGTACTTTATATTGTACTGTAGTTGAGTAAAGTACTTTATATTGTACTGTAGTTGAGTAAAAGTACTTTATACTGTACTGTAGTTGAGTAAAGTACTTTATATTGTACTGTAGTTGAGTAAAGTACTTTATATTGTACTGTATTTGAGTAAAGTACTTTATATTGTACTGTATTTGAGTAAAGGACTTTATATTGTACTGTAGTTGAGTAAAGGTACTTTATACTGTACTGTAGTTGAGTAAAGTACTTTATACTGTACTGTAGTTGAGTAAAAAGTACTTTATATTGTACTGTAGTTGAGTAAAGTACTTTATATTGTACTGTAGTTGAGTAAAGTACTTTATACTGTACTGTAGTTGAGTAAAAAGTACTTTATATTGTACTGTAGTTGAGTAAAGTACTTTATATTGTACTGTAGTTGAGTAAAGTACTTTATATTGTACTGTATTTGAGTAAAGTACTTTATACTGTACTGTAGTTGAGTAAAAGTACTTTATATTGTACTGTAGTTGAGTAAAGTACTTTATATTGTACTGTAGTTGAGTAAAAGTACTTTATATTGTACTGTATTTGAGGAAAGTACTTTATATTGTAATGTAGTTGAGTAAAAAGTACTTTATATTGTACTGTATTTGAGTAAAGTACTTTATATTGTACTGTAGTTGAGTAAAGTACTTTATATTGTAATGTAGTTGAGTAAAAGTACTTTATACTGTACTGTAGTTGAGTAAAAGTACTTTATACTGTACTGTAGTTGATTAAAAGTACTTTATATTGTACTAGAGTACTCTAGTTGTGTAAAGTACTTTATATTGTACTGTAGTTGAGTAAAGGTACTTTATACTGTACTGTATTTGAGTAAAAGTACTTTATATTGTACTGTAGTTGAGTAAAAGTACTTTATATTGTACTGTAGTTGAGTAAAGTACTTTATACTGTACTGTAGTTGAGTAAAAGTACTTTATACTGTACTGTAGTTGAGTAAAGTACTTTATATTGTACTGTAGTTGAGTAAAGTACTTTATATTGTACTGTATTTGAGTAAAGTACTTTATATTGTACTGTAGTTGAGTAAAGTACTTTATATTGTACTGTATTTGAGTAAAGGACTTTATACTGTACTGTAGTTGAGTAAAAGTACTTTATATTGTACTGTAGTTGAGTAAAGTACTTTATATTGTACTGTATTTGAGTAAAAGTACTTTATATTGTACTGTAGTTGAGTAAAAGTACTTTATATTGTACTGTATTTGAGTAAAGTACTTTATATTGTACTGTAGTTGAGTAAAGTACTTTATATTGTAATGTAGTTGAGTAAAAGTACTTTATATTGTACTGTAGTTGAGTAAAGTACTTTATACTGTACTGTAGTTGAGTAAAAGTACTTTATATTGTACTGCATTACCATATTTCAGTACATGAATTCCGCAAACATTCAGTGTAAAATCCGCCCGTTAAATTTGTCCCTTCTCCTCTTCCGTCCACTGCTCCTGTACGCATGCGCACTGATAGAAGCGGATAGCTTACGACAGCGTAGCGGAGCCGCACGAGGAGAAGTAGAGGAAGAAATTAAAGTAAAAACAAAGAAATAAAGAAAATAAAAGTGAGAATAAAGAGAAGAGAGAGCGACAGAGGAGGGATGAACCAGTTGGAGCGGTAAGACTCATCTTTAACCGGGAAATAACGACCGGGAAATACCCGGTAAACAGCCGGAACAGCTAACTGCTAACTGCTAACTGCTAATAGAGACTATCTGACTATAGAAACATTTATTTATTTATTTATTTATTTATTTATTTATTTATTTATTTATCTGACTATAGAAACATTTATTTATTTATTTATTTATTTATTTATTTATTTATCTGACTATAGAAACATTTATTTATTTATTTATTTATTTATTTATCTGACTATAGAAACATTTATTTATTTATTTATTTATTTATCTGACTATAGAGACATTTATTTATTTATCTGACTATAGAAACATTTATTTATCTGATTATAGAAACATTTATTTATTTATTTATTTATTTATCTGACTATAGAAACCTTTATTTATTTATTTATCTGACTATAGGGACATTTATTTATTTATTTATTTATTTATTTATTTATCTGACTATAGAGACATTTATTTATTTATCTGACTATAGAAACATTTATTTATTTATTTATTTATTTATTTATCTGACTATAGAGACATTTATTTATTTATTTATCTGACTATAGAAACATTTATTTATTTATTTATTTATTTATTTATTTATCTGACTATAGAGACATTTATTTATTTATTTATTTATCTGATTATAGAAACATTTATTTATTTATTTATTTATCTGACTATAGAGACATTTATTTATTTATTTATTTATTTATTTTTCTGACTATAGAAACATTTATTTATTTATCTGACTATAGAAACATTTATTTATTTATCTGACTATAGAGACCTTTATTTATTTATCTGACTATAGAAACATTTATTTATTTATTTATTTATCTGACTATAGAAACATTTATTTATTTATTTATTTATTTATCTGACTATAGAAACATTTATTTATTTATTTATTTATTTATTTATTTATCTGACTATAGAAACATTTATTTATTTATTTATTTATTTATTTATCTGACTATAGAAACATTTATTTATTTATTTATCTGACTATAGAAACATTTATTTATTTATTTATCTGACTATAGAAACATTTATTTATTTATCTGCTATTTAATTATAGAAACATTATTATTTATTTATTTATCTGACTATAGAAACATTTATTTATTTATTACTGACTATAGAAACATTTATTTATTTATTTATTTATCTGACTATAGAAACATTTATTTATTTATCTGACTATAGAAACATTTATTTATTTATTTATTTTCTGACTATAGAAACATTTATTTATTTATTTATTTATCTGACTATAGAAACATTTATTTATTTATTTATTTATCTGACTATAGAAACATTTATTTATTTATCTGACTATAGAAACATTTATTTATTTATTTATTTATCTGACTATAGAAACATTTATTTATTTATTTATCTGATTATAGAAACATTTATTTATTTATTTATTTATCTGACTATAGAAACATTTATTTATTTATCTGACTATAGAGAATTTATTTATTTATTTATTTATTTATCACTATAGAAACATTTATTTATTTATTGACTATAGAAACATTTATTTATTTATCTGACTATAGAGACATTTATTTATTTATCTGACTATAGAAACATTTATTTATTTATTTATTTATCTGACTATAGAAACATTTATTTATTTATTTATTTATTTATCTGACTATAGAAACATTTATTTATTTATTTATTTATCTGACTATAGAAACATTTATTTATTTATTTATCTGACTATAGAAACATTTATTTATTTATTTATTTATCTGACTATAGAAACATTTATTTATTTATCTGACTATAGAAACATTTATTTATTTATCTGACTATAGAAACATTTATTTATTTATTTATTTATCTGACTATAGAAACATTTATTTATTTATCTGACTATAGAAACATTTATTTATTTATCTGACTATAGAAACATTTATTTATTTATTTATCTGATTATAGAAACATTTATTTATTTATTTATTTATCTGACTATAGAAACATTTATTTATTTATCTGACTATAGAAACATTTATTTATTTATTTATTTATCTGACTATAGAAACATTTATTTATTTATTTATTTATTTATCTGACTATAGAAACATTTATTTATTTATTTATCTGACTATAGAAACATTTATTTATTTGTCTGCCTATAGTGAGAGACCACAAACTCCCACTGAAGGTATCCAGAAAGGTGACACAGACTCACAGAAAGCAAAGAGAATTGTCCGTTTCACTCCACATGCAGATTTATTAATACAGGAAACAAACAAACCAAGTTGTCTCGAGAATCAACTAACCAGAACAAAGAAAATCACTCTATGAGATTCCTCTTTCCCCTAGAGTGTCTATTAGTGACGTCTAATGTCTGATAAACAGTAGTTATAACACATCTGATGTCCTACTCTCCAGGAGACAGCCTTGGTCTCTGTAATGTGCTCATGACACACTGAATAACTCTATCCTAACTAATGTGAGACAACCCGAGTGTGAATACATGAACATGAAATATTATACTGTAAGCCTGTAAAATTAAACATGGAATAACACAATATAGTTTTCTTCATGTTCACAGAACGTTAAACTCCTCTGATTCCTATTGAGAGAGCACAGCTACAACAGAGGCACAGTTACTATACAGTATATCTTTATGATCAATACACTATCTCTATGGATCACATTGATGCTGGCTGATCAAGATCTTTATTTTATAATGACAGTGTGCTGGAATGGCTGCTGTTTCTAAACTTCTTTCCTATTGCTTTATTGTGTTATTAATGTTATTAATGTTATTAATGATTAATACCGCTGATAGCTGTTAATAGCAGCTAGTACAGTTAGCATATGCAGCAGTGCAGCGGTTAGAGACTTCCTGTGTTACAAGAGAATCGGTCCCTGTTGCAACAATCCTCTGATACTTTGGTCCCAGGGACGAGGAGCAGCTCCTGAACGTAGTTTAACGTCTGAGACTATCAGACTGATGGACTCTCTCCACTGAGACTGTGAACAGAGACTAACTGTTTAAAAGCTTTAGTTGTGTGTCACTTAATATCTGTGAACACCTCCTTCTGATCAGGATATTGATCAGATCAGCCTGCTAACCTGCAGTGCTAACACTGTGTTTCAGTCCAAAAGACGAGGAGGACCAGGAAGAGTCAGAGTGTCACCAGGACAACAGTGATGGGACCAACAACAACAACAACAACAACAGACGCAAGGTGAGACTGTCTGTCTGTCTGTCTGTGCAGAAGGTGTGTCCGGCTGTAGGAGAACTTTAACCTGTCTGTCTGTCTGTCTGTGCAGACGGTGTGTCCGGCTGTAGGAGAACTTTAACCTGTCTGTCTGTCTGTCTGTGCAGACGGTGTGTCCGGCTGTAGGAGAACTTTAACCTGTCTGTCTGTGCAGACGGTGTGTCCGGCTGTAAACTTACCGTCTGTCTGTCTGTGCAGACGGTGTGTCCGGCTGTAGGAGAACTTTAACCTGTCTGTCTGTCTGTCTGTCTGTCTGTGTGCAGACGGTGTGTCCGGCTGTAGGAGAACTTTAACCTGTCTGTCTGTCTGTCTGTCTGTGTGCAGACGGTGTGTCCGGCTGTAGGAGAACATCCTCTTCAGTACAACTACACATTCTGGTACAGCAGAAGAACTCCCAGTCGTCCTGCCAGTTCTCAGAGTTACGAACAAAACATCCGACAGATCGGCACCGTGGCATCGGTACTAACACACACTCACTGTAACACACTGTAACACACTCAAGTCAAGTCAAGTCAGCTTTATTGTCAGATGTGCTATACATGCACGACATACAGCACAAAGGAAATTTCAGTCCTCTCGGACCCACAGTGCAAAAGGCAATAAAATAAATGTTCTATAAATAGAAAAGACATAAAATAAACAATCCAATCCAATCCAATCCAACTTTATTTGTTAAGCACTTTAAAACAACCAAGTTGACCAAGTCTGTACAGAGAAAAATAGGACATCAAAATGTAAACAGTGATGGTGATGAAAGACCACGTGAGGAATATAGACAGGATGGCACAAAAGTTCCCGTGGCAGACAACACGGACGAAGTCCGACAGCGATGAGCCGATGTCCGGGCTGCAGACGCCTCACACAGAGTGCCCGGCGACACCACCTGTTGTTGATGAGCACGGACAGTCCCCCTCCTTTCTTCATGCCGGTCGCGGTGGTGTCCCTGTCGGCTCGAACCGCTGGAAGCCGGGAATGGGACGATGGAGTCCGGTATCTGCTCGATGATTGCAGGGATGTAGAGTTTAAAGCTCCTCTTCTTTATCCTCCGTTTAACCCCCGCTCTGCAGCCTCACCGTCTCCTCCTCAGCCCTCCGGCATGGAGGCTCCTCTCCAGTCAGGATGCTAGGGGCCTCAGGGCGATCATCTGGTCGCGGAAAACAATGCGACCCCGCCGCCATGGAACCAGCGTAAACAAAAATAAAAAGTGCTCAAAAACCCAAAAAGTATTTAGGCACATGAACAAAGTAGTAAGAAAGTAAGAAAGTAAGAAAAGAGTTCAAAATAGCAAAAACACACTGAAAACACACTAAAACTACAACAATGAAAGGAGCTGCCATGACAGGCTGCCGTTGTCGCCGGCGCCATTCCATGGAATCTTGACAACAATGAACAATCAGGATCAGAATCAAGGCACTTGGTTATTTACATGATGAAATAAAATAGGATAATAAATAAGTATTTAAACAGGTGAGGTAGTTTGGTGTAGTGCAAATAACAGGGGAAAGTGAAATGTGCAAGAAATGTGCAGTCCCTGAGTTCAGAGTGTATGAGTGGTGTTGGGGGCAGAGGGGGGTGTGACAGTAGAGCAGGGAGGGAGTTGAGTCTCCTGACAGCCTGGTGGAAGAAACTGTCCTTGAGCCTGCTGGATTTGGCCTGGAGACTGCGCAGTCTCCTCCCTTACGGCAGCAGGCTGAAGAGGCTGTGAGATGGGTGGGTGGGGTCACCTGCAATCCTGATGGCCTTGCCGGTGAGGTGGGTGTTATAAATGTCCAAAAGGGGGGGAGAGAGATACCAATGATCCTCTCAGCTGCTCTCACTATGCGCTGCAGAGTCTTGCGACAGGACACGGTGCAGGCGCTGTACCACACAGTGATGCAGCTCTTCAGGATGCTGTCAATGGTGCCTCTGTAGAAGGTGTGCATGATGGGCACACCCAGGAACTTGGTGCTGCTTACCCTCTCCACTGCAGCACCGTCGATGGTTAGTGGAGCATGCTGGGTGTGCACTCTCCTGAAGTCCACAACAATACCAGACATAACCGGACATAACCCTAACACTCACCGTAACACACACTGTAACACACACTCACTGTAACACACACCGTAACACACTCACTGTAACACACACCGTAACACACTGTAACACACACTTACACTGTAACACACACCGTAACACACTGTAACACACACTCACTGTAACACACTCACTGTAACACACTCACTGTAACACACTCACCGTAACACACACTGTAACACACACTCACTGTAACACACACACTGTAACACACTCACTGTAACACACACCGTAACACACTGTAACACACTCACTGTAACACACACCAACACTGTAACACACTGTAACACACACACTAAAGTAACACACACACTGACACACTGTAACACACACCCTGTAACACACACACTGTAACACACTCACTGTAACACACACCGTAACACACTGTAACACACTGTAACACACACACTAACACACTGTAACACACACACTGTAACACACACACTGTAACACACACACTGTAACACACTGTAACACACACTCACTGTAACACACACTGTAACACACACTCACCGTAACACACACTGTAACACACACTCACTGTAACACACACTGTAACACACTGTAACACACATTGTAACACACACTGTAACACAGTAAGACAGAGCGTTACCTGTTGGCAGGTGATACATTGGTAATGTACAATAGTGACTTTACTGATCAGTCAACAGGTTTAATCAACAGTTAATCAGGTGTATGTCTGTGTCTTTAGGTGGAGCAGTTCTGGAGGTTTTACAGTCACCTGGTCCGACCCGGAGATCTAAGTGGACACAGTGACTTCCACCTGTTCAAGGAGGGAATCAAACCCATGTGGGAGGTAACAACGTATACTGTAGTAATGCTTTAAAAATGAACATACAAATTTGTTTTTATGCCCTTTTGTCATAAAACACCTGTGACGGGAAAAAACGGGAAAAACACAAAAAATAATTATTTTCCAAAAATGAGGTGCAGAGTGGAATATTTGGGATGAGGTTATTAGAGCCTTGACTAGGTCAACAATTGATAACAACATTGATTTGGATGCATTATTATTTTTGGAGCAGTGTTAGTTTATTTGCAAAAATTTACAAGTTTGAACCTGGGGACCCAAAATGGTCCCTGATAAAAGTGTCACACAAATGTCATATATTAATATTTCTTTTCACTTTCACCGCATCAAATCTTTAAAACAACTTCTGACGTAATCAAAGATATAAAGTATTTATAATTTTTTTAATATTTTGTATGTTTTTATGTCTTTTTCGTCATAAGATTGTTATGTGTATTGTCTTTTGCGTGTGTTCATAATTCAAGGCATGTGGCTAAAACCCCTGGGTCAAGAGTGGGCTTTTTAAGAAGGGGTTTAATTACAGCTACTTTAAAGGACTGTGGTACATATCCTGATAATAAAGAAAGATTAATCATATCCAGTAAAGAAGTGCCAATTAAGGGAACAACTTCTTTAAGCAGCCTAGTTGGGATCGGGTCTAATAGACAGGTTGATGGCTTCGATGTAGAAATGATTGAAGTTAACTGATGAAGATCGATAGCAGAAAAACAGTCTAAATATATATCTAAGTTTACATTAGTTAAAGTTCCTGAACTTGGAGAGCCACTGATAACTGTTGATGGCAGTTGGTGATTAATCTCTAATAGTAATAATTTTATTATAGAAGAAGCTCAAGAAGTCATTGCTACTTAAGTTTAACTTCTCTTATTTTGTGCTACTGAGGAGTTTTTCATTTTTATTAGATTTTTATGTTGAACTCCTCTTGTTTTTATTTCTTTAAATAATTTAGGTGGTCGGGGGACAGACACAGTCTCTATGGGGTTTTGGGTGGGTGACTGTTCTAAAGAAAGAGCAGAGAAGTGTGTAAGACAGCAGCTCTGCTTCCTGGTCCTAACTCTGGACTGTCAGGTTTTAGAAATAAACTTCGCCATATTTCTAGATAAGAGAGCCGCTCCATCCAAAGTGGGATGGATGCCGTCTCTAATCAGACCAGGTTTTCCACAAAAAAGCTTCCAGTTATCAATGAAGCCCACATCATTTGCTGGACACCACCTCGACAGCCAGCAGTGGAATGACGACATGCGGCTCTACATGTCATCACTGGTCACATTGGGGAGGGAACTACTGGGGGCTGGCTAACTGTCGCAGCTAGAGATTTCTCAGTGGTTCTTCTAGTTCACTGAGCCTCCAGTAGAGTAAATAAACTACATTTAATACAGGAACCATTACCGCTAAAGGAGGCAGAGGAATAACTGAACATCTGACACACTGAGCAGGACAGAGCAGAGGGAGCAGCCATGCTAACTGCTAATGCTAATGTAACTAGTGTGTGAACAACTTTGTAATTCAGGAGGAAGAAGCTCCGAGTGCTTAAATAGAACTGGTCTACGTTTAAATGTTGAGAGGGTAAATTATCGCTGTAACAAGTAAAAGAGTCTCACCTGTCTGTCTCTCACCCGTCTGCCTCATTGCCCCCTCAGGATGAGTCTAACCGCAGTGGGGGGAAGTGGATCATTCGACTTCGTAAAGGTTTGGCCAGTCGGTTCTGGGAGAACATCATACTGGCCATGATGGGAGAGCAGTTCATGGTGGGAGAGGAGATCTGTGGAGCTGTGGTCTCTATACGCTTCCAGGTACTACTATAATAATACTACCGCAGTACTCATACAGTATTAATACAGTACTAATATAATATTAGAATACTAATATAATAATATAATACTAATACAGTACTAATATAATAATCCTATAATAATAATATAATACTAATACAGTACTAATATAATAATACTATAATATTATAATGCTAATACAGTACTACTATAATAATACTACCACAGTACTCATACAGTATTAATACAGTACTAATATAATAATATAATACTAATATGGAGTTCCACAAGGTTCTGTACTTGGACCAATACTATTTACTTTATATATGCTCCCTTTATGCAACATTATTAGGAATCACTCCATTAACTTTCACTGTTATGCAGATGATACGCAGTTATATCTATCGATCAAGCCCGAAGAAATTAATCAATTATCTAAATTACAAACATGTCTTAACGACATAAAATCCTGGATGACCTGCAATTTTCTGATGTTAAACTCAGAAAAAAACGAAATTCTTGTTCTTGGCCCCAAAAACCTTAGAGACTCACTGTCTAAAGATATAGTTACTCTAGATGGCATTAACTTGGCCTCTAGCACCACTGTCAGGAATCTTGGAGTTATCTTTGATCAGGATTTGTCATTTAACTCCCACATAAAGCAGACCTCTAGGACTGCCTTCTTTCATTTACGTAATATTACAAAAATTAGACACATACTATCACAGACAGATGCAGAAAAACTAATCCATGCATTTGGTACTTCAAGGCTGGATTACTGCAACTCTTTATTATCAGGTTGCCCCAATAAGTCCATTAAAACGCTCCAATTAATTCAGAACGCTGCAGCAGAAAAAGAGATCACATCTCTCCTGTACTAGCTTCTCTGCATTGGCTCCCTGTAAAATATAGAATACAATTTAAAATCCTCCTCCTCACCTATAAAGCTCTTCATGGTCAGGCCCCTTCATATCTTAAAGAGCTCATAGTACCCTATTATCCCTCTAGAACACTACGTTCTCTGAATGCTGGGCTACTTGTGGTTCCTATAGTCTCTAAAAGTAGAACAGGAGCCAGAGCCTTCAGTTACCAAGCTCCTCTCCTGTGGAACCAGCTTCCAGTTGTGGTTCGGGAGGCAGACACCCTCACCACATTCAAGAGTAGGCTTAAGACATTCCTCTTTGATAAAGCTTATAGTTAGGGCTGGATCAGGTGAGTCCTGAACCATCCCTTAGTTATGCTGCTATAGGCCTAGACTATCGGGGGATTTCCCATCTGTCCTAGGTTTCTGCCTTTTAACAGGCAGTGTTTCCTTGCCCTTGTCGCCAAGTGCTTGCTCATGGTGGTACTGTTGGGTCTCTGTAAATAATGTTATAATGAGTTCGGTCTAGACCTTCGCTATTTGAAAAGTGTCCTGAGATAACTTCTGTTATGAATTGGCGCTATACAAATGAAATTGAATTGAATTGAATTAATATAATAATACTAATATAATAATATAATACTAATACAATACTAATATAATAATCATATAATATTATAATACTAATACAGTACTACTATAATAATCCTATAATATAATACTAATACAGTACTACTATAATAATTCAATTCAATTCAATTCAATTTTATTGTCAGAAGCAGTCAGAAGGTCATTATTAACTTTAACCAGAGCTGTCTCTGTGCTATGATGAACTCTAAATCCTGACTGAAAATCCTCAAATAAACTATTGTTATGTAGAAAGTCACACAACTCTTTGGCGACTACTTTCTCCAGAATCTTAGAGAGGAAGGGGAGGTTAGAAATCGGTCTATAGTTGGCTAAAACCCCTGGGTCAAGAGTGGACTTTTTAAGAAGGGGTTTAATTACAGCTACTTTAAAGGACTGTGGTACATATCCTGATAATAAAGAAAGATTAATCATATCCAGTAAAGAAGTGCCAATTAAGGGAACAACTTCTTTAAGCAGCCTAGTTGGGATCGGGTCTAATAGACAGGTTGATGGCTTCGATGAAGAAATGATTGAAGTTAACTGATGAAGATCGATAGTAGAAAAACAGTCTAAATATATATCTGAGTTTACATTGGCAGAAGTCCCTGAACTTGGAGAGCCACTGATAACTGTTGATGGCAGTTGGTGGTTAATTTTTTCTCTAATAGTAATAATTTTATTATAGAAGAAGCTCATGAAGTCATTGCTACTACAGTACTATAATACTAATATAATAATACGACCACAGTACTACTACAGTATTAATACAGTACTACTACAATACTATAATACTAATACAGTAGTACTATAATACTGTAATATTAATACAGTACTAATATAATAATACTACTGCAGTACTAATACAGCAGTAGGTCACTGATGCTTTTTCCTCACAGACAGCAGGTAGTGTGGACAAAGACTGAACCTTAGATCTGGATCCTGGTTCAGGAGTATAATCTGAGTAACCTGTCTGTCTCGGTCTCTACCTGTCTCCCTGTCAGGAGGACATCTTGTCAATCTGGAACAGAACGTCCAACGACCAAACAACGACGTCCAGAATCAGAGACACTTTAAGACGAGTCCTGAACCTTCCAACCAACACCATCATGGAGTATAAGACCCACAACGACAGCCTCAGGTATTACTACTACTACTACTACTACTGCCACTACTACTACTACTACTGCTACTACTACTACTACTACTGTTACTACTACTACTACTACTGTTACTACTACTGCCACTACTACTACTGCTACTACTACTACTACTGCTACTACTATTACTACTACTGTTACTACTACTACTACTACTGTTACTACTAAAAGTTACTACTACTACTACTACTGTTACTACTACTGCCACTACTACTACTACTACTACTGCTACTACTACTACTACTACTACTACTACTACTGCTACTACTATTACTACTACTGTTACTACTATTACTACTACTGTACTACTACTGTTACTACTACTACTACTACTGTTACTACTACTACTACTACTGTTACTACTACTACTACTGTTACTACTACTACTACTACTACTGTTACTACTACTACTACTACTACAGTTACTATTATTACTACTACTGTTACTACTGTTACTATTACTACTACTACTGCCACTTATTACTACTACTACTGTAGTACTACTGTAAGATACCATCATGCAGTATAAGACTTACTAATACTATTGTAGTACTACTATAAAAGACTGTTGTAAAATGTGTACTGTCAGTACTCAGTAGTACTCTGGTAGTTTTTGATGCTGACTGATTATTTCTGTCCTGACTATATTTTGTCTTCATTAATAACTCTGATTTGGATTTTTGTTTATTCTGGGCTTTTGTTGTCCTTGCAGCAGCGTGTTTAATGTGGTTGTGTCAGATCTCTACCGCTGTCTCTCCTCTGAGCACAGGTAGTTCCGCCCCCAGTGGGCGGGGCTTCCTGTGGAACAGCAGAGAGTTGACGATGGCTGCACTGAGCATGAAAGCTGCAAACAGCTGAAAGAAAAGATCGGTTCAATAAAGGTCCATTATAGATACCAATCAGTTAGCAGGTAGCTGTGTATCAGGAGGTAACATTTAGGGTGACCAGACTTAAGACTACAAGTGAAACCAGAACCAGGTTCTGACGACCCTGTTCTCTTTTTCAGGGACCACTCAAGCTTCAGGAACACAAAGATTTCCCTCTGAAGACGAACCCATCAGCTGACTGTCCTCCTGTCTTATCAGTATGCAGATTGTTACACTCTGCTCTCTCATTGGCGTGTGTGTGTGTGTGTGTGTGTGTGTGTGTGTGTGTGTGTGTGTGTGTGTGTGTGTGTGTGTGTGTGTGTGTGTGTGTGTGTGTGTGTGTGTGACACACGCACGCGCCAATAAACTGATCGGGGGGAGGGGGGTTGGTCTCCTGTGAGGATTTTGTATTTTTGACTGTTTTTGGTTTGTTTGTGTAAATAAAAGTGAATCTTTTGTTTATTTGTCTGATAAAATAACAAGTGATGAAATATACAACACAGACGAGATGAATTCAGAGTCCAACTTTTTTTCACTGTTCAGTTTCTGAAATAAAGGAAATGAATGTTTGCTGCAGATGTTGTGTTTTATGTTCCAGACTAACTACACACTGTGTAAGTTTGTCTCCTGAGTGCTGTTGAGCCAGGCACTCACTGTGACTCATTCCCATCGGTACAGCACCTTGACCCAGCTGGCACCGTCGTCCTCTAGCAGACTGTACAGACCCGTTCCAGGCTGTTCCAGGCTGTTCAAGGTTAGTGCAGGTCTAATCCTGCCTCTATTCCTGGCTGCAGACCAGCTGGGACCTGTGATCTGAGGATGGACCTAATCCAGATCAGGATTAACAGATCAGCCTCCACTCAACACACAACCAACAACCACATGTTGGAACACTAAATAAAGGTGGAACAATAAAGAACATTAAAGAACTTAACCCTAAAGAACAATAAATTGAGTTCAATTTTATTTGTATAGCGCCAATTCATAACAGAAGTTATCTCAAGACACTTTTCAAATAGAGCAGGTCTAGACCGAACTCTTTATAACATTATTTACAGAGGCCCAACAGTACCACCATGTGCAAGACCTTGGAGACAGCAGCAAGGAAAAACTTCATTTTAAGGGCATGAAACCTAGGACAGACCCCGACTCTAGGTGGGTGGTCGTCTGCATCGACCAGTTGGGTTGAGAGAGACAGACAGACAGGTGCACAGCAGTAACAGTAGTAACAACTACACTAATAGTGACTTATTATGATGGCGATGACAACAACGATGGGGACAATGAGCAGTGACAATAGTAATAATATTAACTGTAGTTAATAATAACACTAACATCAACAACATATGTAACAACACAAGAGGTTCACATGTATTATAGGGTTACATTTTCGGTATCCATTTTATCCACAAATGTCAAAAAAGCTGCCAGGTTACATACAATTTCAAAACAGACCCTTGTCGAGAGTATCTTATTTTTTCTAGCTTCAGATATTGCATAGTCTCTTTAATCCAGTGCAAGTACAAAGGAGGAAGAGGGTCTTTCCATCTGAACAGAATCAGTCATCTGGCCAGTAGTGTACTAAAGGCCACCACATTGGACCTAAAATTACTTAAATTCACACCCTGTGGAGTGACACCAAATAGAGCAGTAAGAGGGGATGGATCTATTGGCTGCAATAATATTTTAGAGAGAGTGTTGAAAATGGACAGCCAGAAGTGGTGTAGTGTTGGACGAGTCCAAAACGTGTAATAGAGTTGCAGGAGCTTGCTTACATCGATTACAGGTAGGGTCTAACTCTGGTCCGATTTTAGATAGCCTAACCTTTGACCAGTGAAGTTGGTGCAATCTTAAATTGTACAACAGTATGTCGTTGACAAATAGATGATGTGTGGATCCTTCTGATAACTTTCTGCCACACGGCATCTGGAATCTGTTCATTTAAATCCTCTTCCCATTTGTGTTTGAGATAATCTAAAGTTGATCATTGAAATAGATTGAGAAGGCCATATAACTTACTCATAACCTGCTTTAAGTTTTTCCCCAGCTTGAAAATGGAGTCTAACAAAGATACTGAGGGGCATAAGGGAAAGCAATTGGAACGTGAGGCTATAACATTTTGCAATTGTAGATATCTAAAGAAGTGGGATCTAGGGATATTAAATATATCTACTTGTTGTTCAAAAGATGCAAAGTTATTGTCTACATAAAGATCCTGTAATGAATGTATCCCACTCCTGAACCACACACCAAAGGCTCCATCCGACATTGAAGGAGGAAACGTGATTTTTTGTTATCGGAGCAAAAAGGGAGAGGCTGTTGAGAGCAAATGATCTCCTGAACTGATTCCAGATTTTTACCGAATATGCCACAACAGGGTTAGAGGTGTAATAAGAGATGGGCTTTACTAGAGGGAGTTCAGTGCACAATAAAGCTGATAAGGAAGAGGGTCCGCAGGAAGTATGCTCCAAGGTTAGCCATTTAGGGATATTTGAGTTGCCTATATCTGACATCCAAAACAACAGTGCTCTAATGTTGGCTGCCCAATAATAAAACAAAAAATTGGGAAGTGTCATGCCACCCTGGAGATGCGGTCTATGCAATATGCATTTCCGTATGTGTGTTTTTTTTTTGTTCCAGATAAAGGTTGATATGAGTTTATCTACGGAGCTGAAGAAGAATTTAGTCAGAAATATGGGAAGGTACTGAAACAGATAAAGGAACTTAGGCAATACATTCATTTTCACGGTATTGATCCTTCCACTCAGCGAAAGAGACAACAAATCCCAACGTTTAATATCCTGTTTAAGATCATCTAACAGGGGCAGAAAATTAGCCTTATATAGGTCTTGTTATGTGTAACCCAGATTCCCAGATATTTGAGCCTTTTTGCGTTTGTTTTAAAAGGGGTTGAATTAAAAGATATGCTTTCTGCAGATACGTTGACTGGCACTAATTCACTTTATAACCTGATATTTTGCCAAAACCTTTCAATGTGCCCAGCAGGTTAGGGACGCTTGACAAAGGATCTGAAATATACAGCAATAAATCATCTGCATAAAGCGATACTTTACAGTCTAATCCCCCTTAAGGGCAATTCCCCTAATATTAATATCCTGACGATTAGCTAATGCTAACGGTTCTATTGCAATAGCAAATAAGAGCAGGGACATTGGGCAGCCTTGTCTAGTGCCTCTTTGCAGTTTAAAGTGGGGAGAGAGGTTATTATTGATACGTACTGCCGCCATTGGAGAGGTGTAGAGAACTTTAATCCAAGACACAAATTTTGGGCCAAAGCCAAATTTCCCAACAGTGTAAAAAGGGTAGTCCCACTCCACTCTATCAAAAGCTTTCTCAGCGTCAAGAGATAGTAAAATCTCTGGAGTGTCAGATGGAGAGGGACTTTAAAGGATATTAAGTAGGCATCTAATATTAAAATTGAATATTGGTCTTTCATGAAGCCTGTCTGGTCAGGTGAAATAACTGAAGGAAGAGCTACCTCAAGACATTGAACCAAGAGCTTCGCAAGAAGCTTTACATCTGTATTTAAAAGGGAATTTGGATGATATGAACTACAGTGGAGGGGATTTGTATCTTTCTTTAGAATAAGGGAAATGGTTGCATTGTTGCAGGAAGTGAATTTGAAGAGAGTGACTCCTTGAAGACGGATATAAGGAGAGGGGCAAACACTACTGAAAATGTCTTAAAAAACTCTGATGGGTAGCCATCAGGCCCCGGAGAAATCTATCTATTTATATTTTGAAAGTACTTTATTTTTTTGTGATTTATGATTTGTGATTTATATATTTGTATATTTTATGCACCAATTGCACCAGGACACATTCCTACTTGGGAATAAACATAATTCTGATTCTGATTCTTATTCTGACACACAGTAAGTCACCCTCTCATTACAAACTAAAATGAAGCCAATCTTCCTCCTTAACTTGAAACAAGATTAAACTAAAGTCTCTCTCTCTCTGTCTCTTTCTCTCTCTGTTGCTCCATCTCTCTCTCTGTCTCCCTGTGCCTCTCTCTCGCCATCTCTCTCTCTCTCTCTGTCTCCCTGTGTCTCTCCCTCTCTCTGTTTGTCTCTCTCTCTCTGTGCCCCCCGATCCCAGTTCAGAGTTTGTTAGTTGCTTTGAGGATTTGCATCGACTGGAATTGAAGGAGTTAGTTTGGACAGATGAACCTCTGAGACAAAGGTACACTGAGTGTTTGTGTTTGTTTAAAGGTTGTTTCTTTCTATCAGAGTCCAGTAGAAGACAATACTGTACTGTGTGTACTGTGTGTCCTGTATACTGTACTGTGTGTACTGTGTACTGTGTGTACTGTGTGTCCTGTATACTGTATATTGTGTACTTTGTACTGTGTGTACTGTGTGTACTGTGTACTGTGTGTACTGTGTACTGTGTGTATTGTGTACTGTGTGTACTGTGTACTGTGTGTACTGTGTGTACTGCAGATAATAACCAGAACAGCACACAAACAAACATTTCTGGTTTTAGTAAATAATAACTAGTAGAAGTGACTCAACCTGAGTGAACAGCGTTCTGGTGTGTGTGTGTGTGTTGTGTGTGTGTGTGTCTGTCTGTGTCTGTGTGTCCGTGTGTCTGTGTGATTAGATCAAAGGTGTCAGCTGAATGTTGTCGTCTCTGATTTCACCTTCACACAGTTTGATGATTAAATCTGATGAACACGTTTTTGGCTCACGAGGTTCCCAGTTCAACCCCGCATCCTCCAGAGAGTGTTAAAGTGCCTTTGAGCAACAGTGCGATTGTGAATGTTGCTTTGAGCTGATTGAATGTCGTCCATTCACTGTGAATCAGATGGTTTCTTATCTGCAGTCAGTGGACATATTGCAATGTTACAGATTTAAGATAATCTATGATCTATGATGAGAGATCAGAGGAGGCTTGTATTGACTGTACAGCTGTGATTGTCTGCAGATGTCAGATTAATCTGGTACAGATTGGTGATTGGATCTCATATCAACGATTGAAGGGATGATGGTGATTGGTTTTCTTATGCTAGGAGATTTTAATGAGAACTGTTATAGAATAATCTGCTCTGAAGATTCAGAGCTGTTTCTGGTGGAGCAGCATGTCCAATTTGTTGAATTTTAAATGTAAAAACCAGTTTGCTGTCTCTTCTCCATGGATCTGACTCATCTAACCCTAACCCTAATCCTTCTCCCCTCATCATGACTACATCTTCTAACTTTGCTCTAAGTAGAGTAGTTAAGGTTATGGATCTGATTTGGATTGTTATATTAAAGATAATAATGTTGCACACAGACTTTGATTTCACAGCTGTCTGCTTTCTGCAGTTTTGTGTCTCTCTGAGTGTGCTAGAGCCAGTTGATCAGCCTCCAGCCTCATCTTTATTTCTCTGTCTCTCTCTCTCTCTCTCTCTCTCTCTCTCTCTCTCTCCCACCCACCTAGAGTTGGGGTCTGTCCAAGGTTTCTGCCTCTTAAAAGGAAGTTTTTCCTTGCCGCTGTCTCCAAGGTCTTGCTCATGGTGGGAATTGTTGGGTCTCTGTAAATAATCCTATAAGGAGTTCAGTCTAGACCTGCTCTATTTGAAAAGTGTCCTGAGATAACTTGTGAATTGGTACTGTACAAATAAAACTGAATTGAAATTGAATTAATGAAATATATATGTACAATGCTGATATATACAAAGTAATGTAAAGGTTTGCCGACAGAAATGAAATAGAAATTACTTTTAAAGATTGCAGTTTTGCAGAAGTTAATATAATAATAATAACAATTACAAGAATGACGGAATATATAATAATAAATACTGTATTAACTATTTGTCTGTCTTCTTGATTCTTTATGATTCTTCTCATCTTCTCTCATACTTTACTAGAGTATATAAGGTTATGAAGGGAAACATTGGTTAATCGAAGATCATCATCTAGTCTAGCAACAGCTCACATTTACATGCCTTGTAAAAATGTGTTAATGTAACTAAAGCTGTCAGATAATGTAGTATACTCTGAGATGTAGTGGGGTACAAGTAGAAAGTAAAGTACAAGTCAAGTATTTAATTGACTTAGTTACATTCCACCACTGAAAACTCATTTATTAAAACAGTCACATTTATTATTAAAATATAAGTAAGGAGCCCTTTAATTTGTGTCTTCAGTCTTCCTCCTAGTAGACAGAAGTGTGTTCACAGTTGTTTGAACTGAAGCTGTTAAATGTGAAGAAAATAAGTCTTTGTACATGAAAACACAGGAAGTCAGTTATCAGCTCTATTTAAACTTCAGTCTCAAAGAGGATCACAAAGCTGGTTCACTGTTAAACGGACAATCACCATGGTTACCAAGGTATCAATCAGCATAGTGGACTGTCTCTTTATTGTTGCTGTCCTTTGACCGTGGCACAGCAACCATCAGATCAAATCTGTCCCCTCCATTGACCTTTATTCTGTAGAGTTTGAATCCTCCTAACGTGGATGATTTCTTGTCTGGTGCCTACGTGCTGATAATCGGTGAGAATTGATTTGTTATGTCTGTGTTTATTTTTATTTGTGTTTCTCTGCATTGTGATTACCTCTACCTGCTTTACCTGTCATTCTTATGAAACATCATCAGTCACTTCTGTTATTGTATTAAGTTATAAAGTCGACCTAAAGCAACACAGAACTAAACTGAATAAATAATAATAATAATAATAATAATACATTTTATTTAAAGGCGCCTCTCTGGGCACTCGAGGACACTGTACAGCGCATAAAAAATAAAAACAGTAAGTAATAAGAAACAGATAAGAAAAGACAATGTAGATAGTTAAGTGGGGTATGCAGTTCTGAATGGGTGAGTTTTTAGGATACAGTAGGTAGAAATGAGACTGCAGTGGAGGAGCTTCTTAACTCCAACAGTGTTTGGGTTGATTTTTTTTTAATCCATATTTAAGGTTATTATTATTTTTATTTTTTTATTTAACTTTTACTCTCATTTTCGAGGAAGACCTGCCCAGACAGACAGCTACAGGAGTTAATGGATGAGTATTAATGTAACATTGATGGTGACGATGAGCAGTCTTTGTAGATGTTATGTCAGGTCATGAAGTAATATCAAAGAAAAGATTAAAATGTGTAATAAATGGAGTCCAGGTTGGAGAGGCAGTTTATCTTTCAAAGCTTTGTTCTGTGATTGATGTTTATATAAGGATGGTGGTTGTCTTGTGGTTTGGGCTTTGAGTGATCTGGTAGAACTGAGGATGGATCAATTATTGTTCCACTGAAGCACAGTGACGGAGAGGGTTAGGGACTGGAGAGGTCAGGGATTGGAGAGGTTAGGGATGATGTCACCAGAGAGAAGGATGATGTCACCAGGTGAGAGTGGTGTTCAGGTGTCTTTTAGACTGCTGATGACATGTGGGCGGTTGTGGCTCAGAGCGGCGACCATCCACCTAGGTTTCTGCTTCTTAACAGGCAGTTTTTCCTTGCCCCCGTCGCCAAGGTCTTGCTCATGGTGGTACTGTTGGGTCTCTGCAAATGTTTAAGGAGTTTGGTCTAGACCTGCTCCTTTTGAAAAGTGTCCTGAGATAACTTCTGTTATGAATTGGCGCTATACAAATAAAATTGAATTGAATAGAATGAGTTAGTTTCTGTTCGATGGATTTTGCCATCACTGTGAATGTGTGTGAAAGGGTGAATGTGGCTGCAGTGTAAAAGCACTTTGAGTGGTTGGAAGACTAGAAAGGAAACTATACAAGTACAGGTCCATTTACCATTCCACATGTCCTCTGCTTCTCAGCTTGTGTTAAGAGTGTTAGCATTGTTGCTATTCTTAGCGCTCTTTGGCATTAAGCTAATAGTGTCAGTCAGCATTAACATGTGAAGATTTAGAGGTCAGAGGCAGCAGTCAGCTGGGTTCAATCTGTGACTCTGACCAATAACAGAGGTCGAAGAAGTTGATTGACGGATATATAATGAATATCTGTCAATAACTGTCTAAATCTGGTCACTTTATGTAATTTATTTATCATTACTTGACTGTATATTGATCAATGTCTGATAATAGTTATTGATACACAAAGAATAGCTTGTTCACAGATGATAGTTTTACATAATTGCTTTCTTTCGAAACACTGTCAGTGACTGATTTGTTACAATTGTATTAATTGTAAGTCACATAATAAAAATAAAATAAGAATAATATCAATAGTAAAAACAATAAATCCATAAATCATTCTGTACGAAAAATAAATGACAAACTCAAGATGTGAATAAAGTAGAAAGTTCTTAAATAATAAATAACAACAAATCTCTTTCAATGTGGATAATCAATACATTTTCTACACTCACACGTGTGTGTGTGTGTGTGTGTGTGTGTGTGTGTGTGTGTGTGTGTGTGTGTGTTTCCCTTTGAAGCCAGAATACAAGTTTTAATGGTGGTGCGTTCAGGGTCCTGTCTGGTTTCTACAGAATGTGTTAAACGTTACATTAAAGATGGTTTAAAGACACTTTCACATTAAACATCTGTTGATTTTCATTCTTATTGATAACCCTGACTCTTTTTATTGATTTTCATTCTTACTGATAACCCTGTTATTGATAACCCTGACCCTCTTTATTGATTTCAATTATTATTGATAACCCTGTTACTGATAACCCTGACCCATTCATCGATTTACGTTATTATTGATAACTCTGTTACTGATAACCCTGACCAATTCTATTGATTTACATTATTATTGATAATCCTGTTACTGATAACCCTGACCAATTCTATTGATTTACATTATTATTGATAATCCTGTTACTAATAACCCTGACCCATTCATCGATTTACGTTATTATTGATAATCCTGTTACTGATAACCCTGACCCATTCATCGATTTACGTTATTATTGATAACCCTGTTACTGATAACCCTGACCCATTCATCGATTTACGTTATTATTGATAACTCTGTTACTGATAACCCTGACCAATTCTATTGATTTCCATTATTATTGATAATCCTGACCCTTGACTTCCTGCAGGTTGTCAGGATGCAGCTTCCCAGGTGGTTGCTAGGGGCCTGGCTGTGGTTGCTATGTATTACGGAGGTCTGGACAGCAACCTTTAAACTGGCTCTGATTGGTCCATGGTCATGTGACCCCATGTTCTCCCGGGCGATGCCAACAGCAGCGGCCAACCTGGCGTTGTCACGGCTACGGAGTGACAGTGGCCTAAGCAGAGGATACTGGTATGATGTCAAACTGCTGGATGAGGACTGCTCCGCCTCCAAAGGTTCGTTAGCCAATCAACTTACGGGGAAGTTTTCTATAAAGACTGAATCATTAAATAAATATAAGATTCATGTGGATTAAAACTGATAATATAAAAATTAAAACCTGAACCACATTCTTCTTCTTTGGTTCTAATTCAGCTCTGACAGAACTCGGGGACATGGAGGGTTACGGTCACGCCTACATTGGCCCTTTTAACCCCGCCCTCTGTCATGCTGCCTCCTTATTGGCTCAGCATTGGGAGGCAGGGCTGTCTTCTCCAGGCTGTCTGGATGCTGATTGGCCGAACCTGCCACCCATCACACCACCCAGCAGAATCTTGTTCACCATATTCAGGTTTTTCCGCTGGGCGCATGTTGCTGTCATCTCAGGTGCGGGGGGGTGATGTCACTACGGGGGTGTGGTCTGTTGTTAGGGGGTGTAGTCTCATGGGTGTTTCTGTGCTGTGAATTTTGTTATTTCTCTTTTATTATTTATTATTTCTAAAGCTGATTATTTTTCTTTTATAAAGCTGGTTTCGTTTCACCTTAATTCAGAGTAAAAATCTTCAGGAAAAATAAATAAATATTAAATCACATAATGAAAATGATGTATAATCACAGTCCCATCAATGACACGATTATTAATAAAAGGTTTAAATAAATACATAAAATAAATAAAAATAGAAAATTGAATTGAATATCTGTATTTTTAATGTCCTCATTCCTCTTCCTGTTTGCTCATCAGCTCCATCCGACCTTTGGGAGAGCACTGGACAGGAAGTAGCCTCTGCGCTCAGAGCTCTGGGTCTGCTGATTGGTCCAGTGGTTACCATGGAAACAAGGAAAAATGGTGGGCCCCAGGAGGCGCTCAGAGTGATCAGAGAGGCTGACAAGGTCAAAGGTCAGAGCTGAAAGCTGATTGTTTGTGTAAAAAAATTCAAAATGAGAAAAAGAAAGTGAAACATGTCACAAATTACTATTTTATTAGGAATTAATGATAATTAACATATGTATTATTGATTATTAGAAACATCCAGAGGCTGTAGTCAGAGAATTAATGTTCTCCTTTCCATATTAATAATTAATAAATATCTATCATATATATTATTATTATGTTATGATTTATAATCTCAACACATTTTAACATCCAGTTTATCAGCAGACTTAAAATATTAAAAAAACGTTGAACTTTTGAATTTTTCGGTTGCAGTGGTCATCATGTGCATGAGCTCTGTCCTGATTGGTGGAGAGGATCAGAGAGAGCTCCTATTGGCTGCTCTGGATATGGGGATGGTTTCTGATGGTTATGTGTTTATCCCATACGACGCCCTGCTGTACGCCATGCCGTACCAGGTAACAATCACAGTGCATCAATAACTTCATCAAACTGTTTCACTTTATCTTTAATTAGTTGAAATTCAGCAGATTTTTCTCTAAAAATTTCTCTGTAGTTCCATCTGTGACCTAAGGAGGCACTGTTGCATTTTGTTCATGACTGAATATACTTTATATACAAATATAAAGATGATGAAATATAACTTTTGGTTCAGATTAAGTTTAAAAACTGAATTTCTCAGCAGAATATATCTCATATTTTTTCACACATTTGATGAAAAAAAAAAAAGATCTTTAAAGAGTTCAAACAGGTAGTCCTATTTCACAATAAAGTTCATTAGGAGCAGAATTTTCTTTCTACACTCTGTTCTCTCCTTCATCCAATCAGGACACAGTATTCCCTCAGCTGACCAATAGCACACAGCTTCGTCACGCCTACAGCTCCGTTCTGACCGTTACCATGGCGTCCGACCAGAGTTTCTACGAAGCTTTTCGTCAGGCTCAAATGACCCGAGAGATCCGCTCTGCTGTTTCTGCAACTGAGGTAAATACACAGCAAATAATACACAACAATAGACATCAACAACAACAACAAATACACAACAACACAGGCTCAAATCACCTGAGAGATCCAGTTTGCTGTTTCTGCAACTGAAATAAATACACAACAACAATGACACAACAACTGGAGTCTTTTGAGTCCGTGGTGGAGAGGAGAACGCTGAATAAACTGTTATCCATCATAGACAATGTTCAGCACCCTCTCCATCACACAGTGGTCAGACAGCGGAGCACCTTCCCTCACAGGCTGCTCCAGCTCCGCTGTCGAAGGGACAGATACAGGAAATCTTTCCTGCCACATGCCATCACACTGTACAATAACAGCTAAAACTCTGGTCATAATAATACAGTCTCCAAGCACCTTATATGTCTTTACATAATCTGTTCACTGCACTTTATATTTTTACTTTGCACTACAATTATACCGCTTATTTATACATTTTTATACATTTTTTATATTGCATTTTATATTGCTTTTTTGATATGTGTAGGTTGTTCTCTTTACTTCATTGTGTTGCAACTGTGTGTAATGCTGCTGCCACACTAAAATTTCCCAGCTTGGGATCAATAAAGTATATCTATCTATCTATCTATCTATCTATCTATCTATCTATCTATCAAAAATACTCACGAAAACAAAAGAAAATATAAAATGTTGACATCAATTCAATTCAATTCAATTTTTTTTGTCTAGCGCCAATTCATAACAGAAGTTATCTCAGGACACTTTTCAAATAGAGCAGGTCTAGACCGAACTCTTTAAAACATTATTTACAGAGACCCAACAGTACCACCATGAGCAAGACCTTGGAGACAAGGGCAAGGAAAAACTGCCTGTTAAAAGGCAGAAACCTAGGACAGATCCTATGGCTCTAGGTGGGTGGTCGTCTGTCTCGACCAGTTGGGGTGAGAGAGTGAGAGAGAGAGAGAGAGAGAGAGAGAGAGAGACAGACAGACAGACAGACAGACAGGTGCACAGCAACAACAGTATTGGCAATGGCAATCAAGCAGGACCATGGCAGGAGGCTCCACCAGGATCGATAAGAACCTGTGAGACGAGAAAGCACAAGAACTCCGGGGAAGAAGTAAAGTTAGTAACATGCATTAATGGGACATGAATGAGTGCAGAAAGAGAGAGGAAGGGAGGAGCTCAGTGCACCATGGGAAATCCCCCGATAGTCTAGGCCTATAGCAGCATAACTAAGGGATGGTTCAGGACTCACCTGATCCAGCCCTAACTATAAGCTTTATCAAAGAGGAATGTCTTAAGCCTACTCTTGAATGTGGTGAGGGTGTCTGCCTCCAGAACCACAACTGGAAGCTGGTTCCACAGGAGAGGAGCTTGGTAACTGAAGGCTCTGGCTCCATCAGAAGTATCAATGTGTAGATAATTTAATTTACTGCTGATTTCTGACTGATTTTGTTCTGAATTTTGTCTACAGGTGTCACCGATCTTTGGCACCATCTTTAACATGGTGTACTTTGTTGCTAAGGCGGTGGAGGAGCGCCGTCAGTCGGGCGGCGGGCACTGGGTGGCGGGCAATCAACTCTTCCAATCTGATGGAGGCTTTAATTTCCAGGGCTTCAATCAGGTCAGAAACATTTTAACATTTAACTATACAAATAAAATATTATTCAAAATACAAGCGGCTGAAATTAGAAGAAGTGATATCAAGTTTAAATTATAAATATTAAAGTTAAACCTCATGTAAATAGACTTCTGGGATTCATTTTGGAAGTCATCATATACACTGTAAACAATATATTTATATATGTTGGGAAGAAAGGTAAACTTCCCTCTGATGTGTGAACTATTTGGAGATTATTTTTGTTAATGTTTTTAACTTCTGGAGGCACTTTGACATTTAACACCTCGGTTAAAGATTCTTCATCTTTCTGTGTTTTATCAAAATCATCATTCACTAAATCCACATACAAACGAGAGAGACAGACTCCTCTCCCAATCTCGATGGAAGCATGTATTTCTGTTGAATGATCACTAGAGACAGGGAGTCACACATTATGAGACATCTCACTAGGAGGAATCCCAAATAATCGACCGGTTGGGGTTAGAGAGAGAGAGAGAAATAGACAGACAGGTGCACAGCAACAACAGTAGCAACAAATTGAGCATAGCGTTAGTTCAGGCAGGGCACGAAGTCAGGCTTAGCTTTCAGTTACAGCTATATCATACGAGCACAGCTAGTCATAAACATACATCCGCTGATTCCTCTAAGCTTCCCATTGGATACCATACACAGTCAGCTGACAGCTCACCTGATTTCCTCAAGCATCCAATTGGCAAACATCATGCATGGCGCCTTATTTAAGCTGCTTTAGCCTGCCTGCCTATCTCTGCTGCTCCCTCTACAAGCCTTTTTGCCAGGATGTTGTGTGCGTTACTTGTGGTTTGTCGTTTGTTTCTACTTGTCCTGTCTGCGGTGAGTATGATGGCGGGTCGATTGCATTGTGAAGTCTCAGCAGCGATCTCGGCTGTTGGGGAGAGTGTCGCTTTGAACAACATCCGCAGTTGTGTCCGGCTGCTCTGGTTCTGGAGGGTCCGCAGAAGGGGGGAGGAATTGCTCCTGCGGCTCCGCTGCGGTCCCGGCTCCGGCTCCGGCGCTGCGCGGCGCTGCGCTGTCTTCCAGGGGAGCGCGGGTCCCAGGCGCAGCGGCCGGCTCCACCTGTCTTGCTTGTCAGCTCTGTCCAACATCCGGCTGTCGCTTGCCGTCATGGGTTCAAGGGTCCAGGGTTCGGTTCGGCACGTCAGGCCGGCCAGTCTTCGTCCGCAGTTGGCCTGTTTCCCTCTTCGCTGTCTGCAGGTAGAGCGCATGGTCCCACAGGTGCAGCGCTTGACGATGACGTCACAGCAGCTTGTTTTGACGGCGTCACATTTCCGCCGAGAATGCTGGGAAGTGGAGTCCCAATCACCATAGGGAAGAACGTGCTGCCTCTCAAAAAGGGGGCATGAGAGATAACCTTCAACCCCAGTAAACGTCCCTGAGCTGGGGAAGGCGCTAAGAAAGCCTCTAAACACTGTTAGTGAATTATCTTATAGGGCTGCTTCATGGTTCTTAGCTGGGCTGACTTGGTTGCCAAAACCTACAATCTGCTTTGAAGAGCTGAGATAGTCGATGCTTTACTGAAGAAAGGATAACAAAGGTTCATATTGGTCCATTCATAAATCGCCTTCTCAACAAGCATTAAGGTATAGCTACCAGGAAATATTCAGGGAAAATAAATAAACATAATTATTCATTTATCTGCTCTTGCAAAGGCAAACTAAGGCATAATAGTTTAAATCCTCTGGCACTTTTTCCTTATTTTATGCTATAATCTACAATGCCATCAGTTGATTAAAGAAGCATGTAGAGGCACATGGCTAGCCAAGGCAGATGTCACAGATGCATTTAAGTCATGTATTACACCTTCACATTGGCATCTGTTCGGTTTAAATGAAGAGAAATGTACTTCTCAGTTAGGCTCACCTTTGGTTGTTACAGCAGCCCCACATATTTGACACTTGTCAGAGGCTCTCTGCTGGATTCTTTTAATAACTGCAACTGCTTTCATGCTCCATCTCATAGACTGTTTTCTGTTAGTTGACTATCAATTCAAAATCAGACCATGCATTTTTGCTCTTAAATATACCTTTAAACATTAGGTCTTCCGCTATCCAAGGAGAAACATCAGACCCTGTAAGGCTAGAGTTCTAGGCTTCACTCTAGATAGTGTACTGATGCAAATCGCATCAGAGAGGTAATGAAAGCAGCAGGCAGTAGTCATTTCCAAAAGAGAACTGCTCTCCTTGCTTAGACATCTTAAATTGGCATGTGTGTATTCCCCAGGGAAGTTCCCTTATATCCAGGCTTCTGGACCTCTCCGATTTATAGAGCACTCCATGATATGGTGAGCTTGGATGAGGGCTGCAGATCCGAGCCCCAGTCCTGATCTCTTCTGTGTGATAATGGTATGGCATCTCTTATTTTACAATGAGCAGCTAGAATCATCATTTGCCATTAATTATAAAAGACGCAGCATATTGAGTACATATAAATAAATCGAACACTGTGTGCCAGTTCACCCTGGGAGCTTTATGTCAACAGCAAGGTCTAATAGTGTGACTGCTATGATCTACTAGATCACTAATGAACAGCTTTGCTGAGCTTAGAAGACAGAGAGCAGACATGAGGGGCAATTTAGGGAAGAGCAATGGATCCACAGTTTTCGGTGTTGTGTACAGAAATAATGGAGATATAATTAATTCAAACATACAGTAGAAGTGGCATGATTGACCTGTATGATAACCACCCTTCTGTAGGTTTTGGGGGGGTATTTTAATAATCAGTGGTTCACAGACATATGGCTAAAATACTGTCATCCTTGCCAGCTAATGCCTCTTCTACCTTTTTAATGAATGTACCAATTGTTGTTTCATGTTTCTGTGGGGAAAACACTGGTCAAGGTAACAATCATGTTTTTGTGACACATGAGGCAACTGCCAACATCATTTACAAGGGCGTTCTTCAGTTCCATTCATTAATAGATTTGTAAGGCGCCTCACTTGGTTATCTATGTTGGGTAAACTCATTATTAGAGCAGCTCATATTCCATGCTTGGATAACAATTGCTGATTTTGGCCTGGTTTGAATTGCAGAATTTCACCAGCTGTGCCCGGAGGCAGTGCCATCCAGCCTGACTTGCCCCCCATTTTCTCAAACCGTGTTAGACTAAACACAACCATGCAATCCTACAGGCTATCTACTGCTCAGTATATGCGATCTGGCTTAGCTAATCTACATTAAATAACTCCTCCATTCATTCGCATAGGAGCAGCAACAATGCAGCATCCGTAGCTCCTGTCTCGATGCTAAGGCTATGGGTAATGTTCATTATCTGCTTACGAACGATATCTCCGGCCTGAGGCCAAGCAATTCTTGATGCTCAGAAAGCAATGAGTGCCCTGTAATTCCGGCTTAAATTCATTAATGTATAGCAATTTCTGGGGATATCTCTAGCATACTTAGCCATGTACTTCAACTAGTGTCTGCTTAGACGTATTGGTTTATAGTCCTGCTGGCTCCTCTTAATGGCACTTCTATGTAGCTCATGGAAGGGAGGTTGCCTGGTGTGGTTCTTTGGGGGTCTCTGCTGCCGCTCTCCTTGTTTTAAACTTTTCCGTGAATGCACATGGAAGGACAGGGAGATGTGCTCTCCCTGCCTTAAGGTTTTCCACGTAGGCATGTGGAAGGACAAGGAGGTCCCATACAGAGCCACACCACTAAATATAACACACTGTTTGGGAAATATGTTTTGCTGGCTTAATTTAAATATTCTTCTAGCATAACTTCTTTGGGATCTCTTTATTAATCCTCAGCCAAGTTACTTAAACTAGTATCTGCATAAGTTATTGGCTTATTACTGTCATTTATTTCTTACAAAAATTTGTGCTGCTGGCTCCTCTTACTGGCACTTCCATGTAGCTCATGGAAGGGAGGTTGCCTGGTATGGTTCTTTGGGGGTCTCTGCTGCCGCTCTCCTTGTCTTAAACTTTTCCATGTATGCACATGGAAGGGCAGGGAGGTGTGCTCTCCCTGCCTTAAGGTTTTCCACGTAGGCACGTAGGAAGGACAAGGAGGTCCCAGAACAGAGCCATACCGCCAAATGTAATTCTGCTTGGAATATAAGATATTTTGACGAAAGTGGTCCTGACTGAACTACACTAATAGTAGTGACTGATGATGATGAATATGAAGAAGATGACGACGACAACAGCAACGATGGGGGAAAAACGAGCAGCGACAACAGTAACTGTAGCAATAATAATACTTATAATAACAATAACACTAATATCAGTGATATTAGCAATGGCAGTCAAGCAGGACCATGGCAGGAGGCTCCACCAGGATCCATGAGGACCTGCGAGATGAGAAAGCACAAGAACTCCTGGGAAGAAGTGAAGTTAGTAACATGCATTAATGGGACATGAATGAGTGCATAAAGAGAGAGGAAGGGAGTAGCTCAGTGCACCATGGGAAATCCCCCAAAAGTCTAGGCCTATAGCAGCATAACTAAGGGATGGTTCAGGACTCACCTGATCCAGCCCTAACTATAAGCTTTATCTAAGAGGAATGTCTTAAGCCTACTCTTGAATGTGGTGATGGTGTCTGCCTCCAGAACCACAACTGGAAGCTGGTTCCACAGGAGAGGAGCTTGGTAACTGAAGGCTCTGGCTCCTGTTCTACTTTTAGAGACTATAGGAACCACAAGTAGCCCAGCATTCAGAGAACGTAGTGTTCTAGAGGGGTAATAGGGTACTATGAGCTCTTTAAGATATGAAGGGGCCTGACCATGAAGAGCTTTATAGGTGACGAGGAGGATTTTAAATTCTACTCTAAATTTTACAGGGAGCCAGTGCAGAGAAGCTAGTACAGGAGAGATGTGATCTCTTTTCCTAGTTCCTGTCAGTACTCGTGCTGCAGCGTTCTGAATTAATTGGAGCGTTTTAATGGACTTATTTGGGCAGCCTGATAATAAAGAGTTGCAGTAATCCAGTCTAGAACTAACAAACGCAAGGAGTAGTTTTTCTGCA